CTTATGATGGCGTTATGTTCTCTTTATACAGTTTCTTTGGCCAGGGATGAAAATATTATATATGTAATCTATTTTAAAGTAAACAAAAGTTATTTAGTGGTTGATATGTAGTGAAACGACTTAAGTTGGATTACATTATAAAAATTTTCAATGTAAACTTTTATCTGTTAAAAAGAAAGAAGGCTTAAATATTAGGGAAATCACAAAGCGCTTTCATATAATTTGTGTGACTATATTAAGTTGGCTATGTACAATTTTCGCAAAAGAGGGTGTTCATAATTCTGTGTCAGGGAATTTTATATTCTCATTATACCATCACGTCGACTTTTAAAATAGATGGACAATTGAATAATGGTTAACGCCCAGTTACTAGTCGGCATTGTCGATTTCTTCAATACCTGATAGATGCCAAAACAGAGTAATTTTAATAAACTAATAATCGTTAGGAAAACGCCCCTTTAGTCTTGGTTAATATTCTAAATTGATGATGCACCGCCTCTACAGCATTAGTAAATGACTTATTGTCACAAAAATATTGTGAACTTCTGGTTCAAGATGTCTTTCTACTGTTAAAGAGAATACAACTGGGTTAAAATGTAGAAAAGACGAGAAAAGGTCTTTGTTTACAAAATGAGTAATCTTCATGTTTACTATTCTTAAGTAAATCCATTATTAAAAATTAGGATTAACATTTGTTTGCTTTTGGTTCTACTTTCTTTTATCCATCTAACTATCTAACTAGAATATATCGATTAATTTAATTAAAACTAATAGAATAAGAATAAATAAAAAATATCATTTTTGAGCAGTTTAATTTGAGACGGTGTCTATCAAATCTGCCAGAGAATCCTTATGAAATGATTCCTTCCAGTGGAATTATTTATAGCAAATTAACAATGAACCAGGGTAGTTAAACAAAACTTCCTAGGAGTTGCCTTGTTAAAGGATATGTTTTCCAAAATGCTCTAGAGAAATGAATTTTTTGTTGACTAAAATGACCACTAGTCTCAAGTGGGACACATTGGTCAACCTTTTTACATGCCAGACAAATACGCAGGCTTTAGTCGGTAAGTAAGCGTCCATGTGTCCTTTAATCAGGCGAGGATGTCCCTTCTTCAACAAGTCAGAAAAATCAGGTTGTTTGTGAGATTGAATAGATGAAATGCTCGCTGTTTTAGATTATTTTCTATTGATTTATTTTTTAAATTTGGGAATAGTGGTTATTGTATGTAAGAAAAAAATTCTTCCTAGGAATTGCCTTGATAAAGGATATAAATTTTACAAAATGCTTTAAAGAAATGAATTTTTTCCTTACCTAAAATGATCACTAGTTCCAAGTGGCACATATTGAGCAACCTTTTTGCATGCCGGAGAAATACACAGGCTTTGGTCTGTAAGTAAGCGTCCATGTGTCCTTCTTTATTCAGGTGAGGATGTCCCTTCTTCTATGAGTCAGAAAAAATCTTCTGGCTGTTCAGTTTGTGAGATTGTATATATGAAATGCTGGCTGTTTTAGATTATTTTCTATTTGTTTATTTATTTATTTTTAATTTGGGAATAGTGGTTATTGTATGTAAGAAAAAAAATCTTCCTAGGAGTTTCCTTGATAAAGGATATAAATTTTACCAAATGCTCTGAAGAAATGAATTTTTTCCTTACCTAAAATGACCACTAGTCCCAAGTAGGACATATTGAGCAACCTTTTTGCATGCGGACAAATGCACAGGCTTTGGTCGGTAAGTAATCCATTTATCTATCCTCAATGAAGTGAGTACGACCCTTCTTCTATGAGTCAGAAAAAATCTTCTAGTTGTTTAGTTTGTGAGATTGAATAGATAAATTGCTGTCTGTTTTAAACTATTTATTTATTTTAAATTTGGGAATAGTGGTTATTTTATGTAAGAAAAAATTTCCTAGGAGTTGCCTTGATAAAGGATATAAATTGTACAAAATGCTCTAAAGAAATGAATTTTTTGGGGGCGTTGGTAGCCGCAACGGTTTAGACGTTGACACAGCACTCATCACACTCACGGGTAAAGGTCCCGGGTTCGAATCCAGCGGCCCTGCATTCGAACCCGACATACTTACAAATGGGCTTTTTTTCAAAAACACAACACCTCGAGGGTTGATATAAACTCTGCTGTTGCGAACCCAATTTTTGCCCATGAATTTTACATGCTGGACAAATACACAGGCTTTGGTTGGTAAGTACATGTCCAAATATCTATCCTCAATCAGGTAAGGATGACCCTTCTTCGACGAGTCAGAAAAATCTTCTAATTGTTTAGTTTGTGAGTTTGAATATATGAATTGCTGGCTGTTTTAGATTATTTTCTATTTATTTATTTTTAATTTGGAAATAGTGGTTAGGGTTTGTAAGAAAAAAAATCTTCCTAGGTGTTGCCTTGAAAAAGGATATAAATTTTCCAAAATGCTCTAAAGAAATGAATTTTTTCATAGACTAAAATGACCACTAGTCTCAAGTGGGACACATTGGTCAACCTTTTTGCATGCCGGACAAATACACAGGCTTTGGTCAGTAAGTAAGCGTCCATTTATCTATCCTTAATCAGGTTAGTATGACCCTTCTTCTACGAGTCAGAAAAAATCTTCTAGTTATTTAGTTTGTGAGTTTAAATAGATGAAATGCTGCCTGTTTTAGAGTATTTTTTATTATTTATTTTTTTAGTTTTTAAATTGGGGAAATGAGGTTAAGAGAAAACACTTACAGTAATCAATTTTTTGTTCTCGCATTTAAATAGTTTTCTTCTTATTTTGTATAGTATCCGGCGGTGCAGTAATACACCAGTAAATAATAGTAGTACTTCATTGGTCACAATTCAAATAAAATAATAATAGAATCTTGCTGGAGGTCAATGAATACATTAACAAAACCATTAAAATTTAAGATATCCACTTTGACCCTAGCGTTACATGGCACAGAGGGTCATCCAAGAGGCTTAATTTAACTGTACAAGTTTACAACTATTTTTAAACAATCACTGCAATTCACCCAAATTCAGACCATAAAAAATAATAACTAGCGATGAAAAATTGTGTACGACAGTCGGTGTGTGGGTCAGGTAAGTGATTGTTGACAAAAGGACAATACGTCAAAACCAAATTTAAACTTGATGTATCTACGGCTGCAGCGATTATTCCTTTTGCCTAGAGGTGAGACTGTACGTTTACTGCATTGGTAAATCGTAAGGGTTCTATATTCTTATTACGACACCAGGCCTCATGTTTGAAGTGAGACTCTGAATAAATTAAAATAACTGACCTACTAAGTTCTTCCAAACCCGCCTTATTCTTGAAATGACTCCAACAGATTTTTATCTATCTAAGAATTTCGATAACTTCATTAAACGGATAACTTTTTAAAATTATTAGTTCTTTATGTCTTCTCAAAACTAAATTTTTCTGTTCTCGAATTGAATTTCCAAAAGTTAGAAAGTAAGTTAAGATGAAAAAGGTAAATGCTTTGAATAAAATGGTTTTGAATTTATAAGGTTTTTTTTTATTAACCAATACATTAAACACGTGAAAATGAGCATTTCATGAGAAACAATCAGAAAATAACTAGCAGTATTTTGTGTAAAATAACTTTTGTAATAGTTAATGTTAATAATCATAGTTTATAATAGTAATTTTAATTGACCGTTTCTACTGATTAAAGATACAAAGCTGATAAACAATAAAGATAAAATGCTGGCTGTTTCAGATTAATTTTATTATTTTTATTTTGTGACTGGTGGTCATTTTATGTAACAAAAAAGAAGAAACTTCCTAGCCATTGCCTTGGTAAAAGATATATATTATTCAAAATGCCCTAATGAACGAGTTTTTTCTTACCTAAAGTGACCACTAGACACAAATTAAAAACAAGTATAATCATGGAAAATTTTGTTTTAAACTGTCTGATGTATTGTTTAGAATAGTTATTTTTGTTTGGTCTGAATGAAAAAAACAAATTCAATTGTTATCTGCCAAGTTTTCGCCATAATTTAATGTCATCATCAGGGAAAAGCGATCTGTTAGATTTCTACAAATTGACATAATTTTTTAATAAATTGTTTCAAATTTCTACAGCCCCTGGCAATGTTGGAACTTAGTCTATCTTCAAAGAAATTTCAAATCATTTATTAAAAACTCAATAATGTCAATTTGTAGACATCTTTAAGATTGTTTTGCCCTAATGATGACCTTAAAATAGGTCGATAGCATGGCAGATTACAATTTAATTTGTGGTCTTTCATCTAGGCCATACCGAAATACAAATTATTTGAGTTTAAAAAGATAGTCGATATGTCTAATATTTTAAAGAAAATTTGGTTATAGTAAAAAAATANCTCCTGTAATACCTTTCCCAGGTGTGCCATGTTCCATACAACTCAATCCTGAGGCATTGCATGTTCTACAAACCTTGAAATCCATATAAATATAATTTAAATAAATAATTTAGTAAATTTTTTAACAAAAGCCAAAAAAATATGTACATTATATATAAAATATACATATTTAAAAAAAATTATATTTATGTATAATGTATATGTAAAAAGAAATAGTTACAAAAATATATATTACACAGTAAATAGAAAATTAATTGACAAGGTGTTGAAGTTTGTGTTTATGACTATTTTACACAGATTTATTTCATTTTGAGAATCTGCTGTTTATATACAATATCCCGATTTTTATTTTCATGCTGAACTGGCATTTATTGGGTCCATCTTCACTTGCGGGTTTGTTGAACTAGTCAAACGCATTTTGGCATTGCGCCATCTTCAGTGAGGAACCGTTGGGAGTAAGAACTGAATTTTTATTTTGTTTTCAATAGCTCTGTAAGTCCCGTTTTTACTGTTTTTTTTCCACGTGAGATTTTTTGTACGTATATCGTTCTTAGTCAGTTGATTCTTTCATATGCCACAAAATGCCAACATGATTATGAACTTTTTAAAACAATTACCATATTTTTTGTTTTTCAACTTCGATACATACTGTGATACTATTTTTTTCTCCATAGATTGTATAACACTGAATCAGTACAGTTTTGAATGGTTTGTGTAGTGTGCGGTTGCCAGTGTTATTTGAAACATATTGCAAACTTGTCAGGGTCATAAGGAGGAGCGAGGAAAAAGGGAAGTTGTTTTGAATTTTGTAAACTATTTTTTCATGAAAAGGAAATCCTCTCAGTGTGTCTACATGTTGAAAGACAGACTAAATGAAAGAAATACGTAACAGGCAATTAGTGTCGACCTTGTGTTAACAGACTACAACGTAATTATGTTGTCTTATTCTCCCTCCTCGCTAAAAAATCTTTTGCAGACAGAATATCTCTAAAATAGCACTTGTAAGTAATCAACTGTGTGCAGTTTGAAAATAAGTTGATAATTTAAAACAGGAAAAAAAATCTTACCCTTGTATTATTGAAAATTTGAGATGAGAATTTCAAAAATTATTTTTTCTGTTCTATTAGTTATTATTCAGTTTTGATTACTTGTGCAGCATAAGCAGCATTGGTTTTATGATCACCCAGAAAGATCAGAATCCATCGTCAAATAAGTGTTTAAATGTCTTCTAAGGCAATAATTGTATTACTTTTGGATAATTTTAACAACATAGGAAATATTATTGTATTATAAAAACAATCTTGAAGAATAATCAAGATTATTTTTCTTAAAATTTTATAAAAGAATAATTTGTTGGAGATAAAAGAATAATTGATCTCATTAGTTGTTTTATAATTGCCGTATGATCCAAGTGTGATGTGAATTGCATTAGAAATTAAATATAATGGATAGAATAAATTTACCAAAATGACCTTACAATATATAAGTTAAAAACGAATATATTTGAAAAACAAAACAAAAAAGGTCACCTGTTTGTAATAACTTGAATTATTAAATCTTATAAAAATAGAGAAATGAAGAAAATTGAGAGTTATTGATTTTGTTTGTTTGTTTTAATACAATAATTTAAAACTTTAAACATGTTTCTATTGAGAAAGGTACATATTAATAAACAGCTAAGTTTATGTTGTGTGAGATAGTTGTAGGTAGGAAATATTTTTGGCCTATTTCCTAGTCTTTAAAAAAAAAGGTCCTATTGGAAAAATCAGGCCGTACAAAATCATTTTGCATCTCGATGCAAAATGGCTTCCAGGCTAATGACTTATAAAAAGGAAACTGTAAATATAGCTGCACCTTGAGGCCAAATGGCATGTACCTTCATTACGCGCCAATTTTGGCAGCGGTACAATATCTCGATAAAACAATATTTAAGCAAGATGAATCAGTTTTCTCGCTTTTTCTGTTCCAGACTTTTTCAAACAAAATGAGTGATTTCGAGGATGCAGCAGAATCTTTTGATCGGGTCGATGGCACTTCGTTCGCTTTTGACGGAATTAGGAAAAGACACTTGTGGGAGTCACTCGAGTCAGAACTACCCGGTTTGCATGAAGTGAAGGTAAGTTTATGCCATGTTGATTTAAAAAAAAAACATGTGTAAAAAAATTATTTTGAACCTAATAATAAACAGTAATCATACTATCAATTTTACTACTCATTTCTTAATTATTACACTTATTGATTTAACATTTCATATTTTTGTCTATGGAATTAAACTTTTTACAGCAAATTTTAATTATAATACAAACACTTTCAGAAGTCATGCCTATTTTTGAGGATCATTGAACTTGTAGAAAAAGCATAGAAGATTTATAAACCCTTGTGATAATCCTAGTATAAATAAGCTTGATTTGCTTTGATAGTAAACAATAATAATAATATATTATTATTATTAACAATAATAAATAATTATCATAATAATTGTTTATTATTTATCATTTATTTATAATGAAATATTATAAATATTAATAATATTTCATTATATTTGATGGCCTAATTGACCAAATTACTTCTTTCAATTAATTCTCCTTTTTATGTAAGGTCCTAGTTGAGATGAAAAAGTTAGTGTCACGAGCGGGATTCGAACCCACGACCTTCGGCTCAATACGCCGCTGCTCTACCACTTGAGCTATCGTGACTTCGATCCACTCGGACACCAATCCCCATCTCAACCTACAACCTTTCAAATTTTTTTGCCATTTTTCAAATGTCATGTAATCAGGATTCGATTCTCAGCGACTTATGAAGTGACCACGAGGAGCTGTTAGTGAAGTGATACTTCTTTTACTTATTAAATCCATTAAGTTTAGTGGTCTAATTGACCAAATTACTTCTTTCAATTAAATATGCTTTTTATGTAAGGTCCTGGTTGAGATGAAAGAGATGAATATCAATAATGATATAAAACTTATTAGTTTGTACCATTTTTTAGGTTGTTGTTTATTGATTAAAAATTACTCTCAAATATTTTCAGTTGATTGTTTTCTTCTATAGTCAGATTTCTTCTTTGGGGTCTTATTGTGTAATTTTTTTAACAAATTAATTTTCTTGCGTAAAGAATTTCAGAAATTATTTTCTGTCAGGCTGACTATCCTTTCTGGTCTGCATCTTCACATTTATTCTTTTTAAACTGTCCTTCTGCTTTACCCGTTGCACGATTCCATTCAAAATCACCTCAGAAGGGAAGAAGTATCTCTGGCTTCTAGTTTTTTCAGCTGGAAATGATTTTTTTACATTTATTTTGGGAAAATTTGCTTTTCTGTGTATGTGTCATGTTAATTTAGAAAATTATTTGCCCATTTTGTATGATTGTGTCAAATTATTGTTAGAAAGTAGAAATGACTTTTATTGAACTACAGTCCCAAATTGAACAAACGTTCTGCGGGGTCCCAGTTGATTTGCTTAGCGCTGTGGGGGTGCAACTGTTCTGTGATATAATTTATATCACTTAGATAAATATAATTTAAAAAAATTACATTATTTTTAAGTACCAAATAGCTTTTATTACTTGATAAATTGTGTTTCGCTGTGGACAACCAAAATGGCCAAGCATAGGACACAGTCAATGTTTTAAAAAGTGTGCGTTTCTTAGAGACCTGTTGTTTCATAATTTGTTGAAGATATGAGGAGCAGTTGAGAATGAGGTAGTTTAGAAAAACCTGTTTTAAAAACTATTTGATATCTTTGCCATGGTGAAACAACAGAGTTTTTACCATTTTTAAATTGAAGGCGACTTAGATTTCAAAAAAAGAGTATAAAAAGTTATAAATCGCACACATTCGATACAATTAGTCCGAATATTTGTTTGATCAAGCAGGATTTAAAATATGTCATTGGTCAGGTGATGTTTTATCTATTTGCTATCAATTATTTAACCGAGTAATTGTTCAAGTTTAAAAGTGATTAATGTTTGTTTTGTTTATGATGTCATCCTACATCAAGTAGTAACTATGTTCTAATCTTATGTAAAGCAATTGAGTGAATGACAGTTTCATCGGTTTTAATTATATAATACTCTTCATATAACCTTGTATTGTTTTATTTTATCTTTATTTTATCATTATTAGAAGACAAGAGTTCTTGTTGACAATTTGTTTAATAAAACCGGAGACCCAGGGTTCTTGTACTTAACATGCTAGTAGTTCCGGGTTCAAATCCTGGCCTGTGGGAGTGTGAGATTAACTTAAAAAAAAAAAAGTATTGTTAAGTGGTTTGACCTTATCCATCCTTAAACATGACATCCGATGTGTAGTTAAATCTTAAGCCCTTTTATGACAAGAAATACTGAATGAATTATTGGCTACAGCGAAAATTAAGCCAAATGTGCAAAATCAAACCTCTGAGGAAATTGCATTAAAAGGTTTAAATTTTTCTCAAAATTAGAGTAGTGGACAAAATTTCTCAAGAATATGCTTTTTTATTTTCTCAATATTACTTACACGAAGTGGTTTTGTTGTTTTTGGCTTAACCCTTGTTTCCCTGCAACCACGTAATAATATAATCTGGCAGGAAAGGTTGAAAATCTTTAAAACTACTTACAATTTAATGGTTTGTATTTATTAATTTAAAAAAAGTATCCTTGTTTGTGTAATGAAATAAACTTTGTCTTGCATTTATTTTAATAAATATGAAGGCAGGTGATGAATTCATTTGCCACGTGCGGTTCATCATCAGATTTTCTTTTTCTCCTATTCAGCGACAGCCTTTTTAATGAAGATTGATATTTTTCACTTCGTTATCTATTATAGGAGTTTATCGAAGAGGATGATACGAGCCTGTTTGATGATGAAGAGGGATGCAATGGTTGCCCTTTGCCTAGCACTCCAGTCGACCCAACTCTGATCGATCAGGAGGTAAAGATTGTGTAATTCCTAGCAAGTGAGATAGTACTACTCAAACACAGATTGAGACAGAGATTCTTGAACTATGTAATTAGACGTAACATGATAAAAATATTAAAAAAAGATTTTTAATCTTTGAAATCTTTCAAAATTTAAAATAAATTATACAGCCCAGAATTAAATTCAGTTCTAAAATTTAATTTTTGTTTTTTGTTCATTTCTCAATACCATTTCTAAATATGTCTTTTCTTTTTATTTCAATTTTCTGTTTTTTATTTTCCACTGTGATATTGTGAATTTACCTTGATACAGCATGGCGAATCGAAAGACAAACCGTCGAAATATTACAACAAAGTATTTTGATATCTGTAATTTCTATCTTAGAGTTGGCTGTTTTAATTTTTGCTTCCTGAGCAGTTTTTGTCTATTCATGGACAACTTCATTGTCTTGGATGATCATACTGCTGATAAATAGTCTTGTCAATATAAAAACAAATTTAGCTAAGTTTTGTAAACAGAAAGTATAATTAAATAATAAATTTTGAATTAACTGGACTTATTTGACAAAAGTTAACACGCTGTCTTTTAGCAACAACCATTAATTATTTTTATTTTTCACTTTCAATTGTTAAAAATATTTATATATCACAAATTATAACCAGATTATATTATTAAATGAATAAATAATAATAGTAACTTTTATGTGAGAATTTTTTTCATCATTCTGGCACACATGTGCATAAATAATTAGAGTACAAAATCATGTTAATAATAATAAAAGTAAAATTTATTTTTGTCAAATGATATATTTCAAAATGTAGCTGTTGAAAAATGAATAATGAATTAACCCAACCTGTCCTTTCCTTCATAAGATTTCGATACTGTCCTTGAGTATTTCTTCATCAGAATTTAAATTTAATTCAAAGAACTGTTTACAATTCTTGGGCTTGAACATCGATGCTTTTCTTAATATTGAGAATTATTCGCATAGGCCGAAGTTTAAAAAAAAAAAAAAGTTTCAGTGTTCGATTTTGAACCAAAAAGTCAAGAATTAATTCAGATATCAACTTTCCAGGAATGCACAGATCTAGTGAATAAGGTAATCCAGAACTATGGAGAAATGTGTCTTGAGAGATGAGGAATAAGGCAAAAATATAAATGGTTTCTTAACCTTGATTCCAGATCAAGTGTTTTTTTTTATCCAAAGCCATTTTCAAAAAAAAAAAAAAAAAATTCTTAATAATTTATGTTTCAAGTGTTGATTTGGCTTTTAATTTGATTCAGATCTCGGAGGTCTTAAAAGTAGGAATACACGACCTCGACTTGGGCGCTTTTGTCAACAGCGCCAGAGAACCCGCCGAAGAGTTCGTCAGGAAGGTATGGGAAGCCTCGTGGTCCGTCTGCAACTTCAGGCATCTCCCACACTGGCTACAGGACAATGACTGCTTACACAACTGGCACAGGCCGCAGCTCGACTCCTTCTCAGCCTGTTTCAAATCAATATTCAGTGTGCACACTGAAACAGGCAACATCTGGACACACCTTTTGGGTAATATCGATTGTTATATCCACTAGAATCACCATCAATAACTTGTTTTTGTTATGATTTAAATGTCTTTTTATGTGGAATTAAATTTGTTTCAATTAACCTACACTTTAATTGCCTTTCTAAGCTGCCCCAGCCGAAGTAATTTCATAATAGAATGCATTTAGCCCTTCTTCAATAAAATTATTCTGAAATTATATCAGTCAGTCAAACCTCAAAGTGAAATTTTCACTGTTTTTGAAAATTAGCTATAAAATAATGATACACAACCGAGTGACAAAATTATAGACACATTAAAAAATTACGATTTCAACAGTTAAAAATGATTTCTTTTGCCATTAGAATATTGTTCATGATATTAAAAGAAAATTAACTCTGGAAATGGCTTGATCTGATAATCTTATACAAATGTACATCTCAATAAACAGTATTGTTTTGATTTAGCTGTGACAAAATTATAGACACACATTTTGTTTACGTTTATTTTATAACTCCAAAGGTTTATTCAGTATTCACTGTGCCTTGGTGAAGTGTTTACTGTGAGTTCATTTGGAACAATTCAAAGTTATTTTAAAATGCCCAAAGGAAGAAGATTTTCTGATGAGGAGCGCCGGTTGATTCACTTGCTCAATGAAGATGGAATGAGCTGCCGAGATATCGCCCGACGCATAAAACGAAGTTTTTCATCGGTATCGAAGATAATATGACTAGGTGAAGACTACAGAAGAGGGCATAGCTCTAGAAGACCTTCCTTGACCAGAAGAGACAAATCGCACATCCTGCACATTGCTTCAAACAGCTTTTCGACTGCAAAAGCCATCGCAGAGAAGGCAGGTGTTGATGTTTCTGTTCGAACTGTTCGAAGATTTCTTTAAAAAACTGGAAACATAGTCCGAAGAAAACTGAAACGCAAACCAGCTCTGAAACCCCACAAATAGCCCATGTCAAATTTGCTGAAAACCACAATTTGAAAAATGAAGATTATTTACTAAAAGTTATTTTTTCTGGCGAAAAAAAAAATTCAATTTGGACGGCCCGGACGTATACGTGTCACATTTCAATTCATTTCAAAGTGACAATGTTATTTAGATGCCTTGATTAGGCTGAGAGTAGAAAAAATAAAATAAAAGAGAATAGGAAAGAGACAGTCGAGTCGGAGAGGTGAGCAAGATTCCGTGTAGATGAGAGACAAGAGAAGTGTGCGTTCCTCAAAAGTGTTGTATTCCCTAAAATAGAGTGCTTCGGTCCACTGCGAATTGACTGGAAATAGTGAGTACATATCCACCCTTGTTCTAAATGGTCTGGCAAACGCTTTGTAGGAAATTACTGTTTGTTTAAATTTATAAAAAGTTTTAATTGTTGTTTAAAATTTAAAAGGAAATTTATTGGTTTTAATTATTATTTTCTTGTGTGTTTAATAAATTGTTTTTAAACTTTAATTAAATTTTATTTTAAAAAGGCACCTGATCGGCTGTATTCAGGTTCGATCAAGACCTCTGGGGCTCTGTTTCTCATAAAAAGGATTCAGAGTTGGGCCCGTCTTGTTGAATCGAGAACAGATCTTGACATAAGCATACTACTTTCATGATCTAACTAAAGAAGAAAAAATTTTGACACAGCGCCAAAAGGGTGGTGGATCTTTGATGATTTGGGGGTGTATTGGGTGTAATGAAAAACGGAATCTTCCTTTTCTTCCAAAAAAAGTCAATTCGGAATATTACAAGAAATTACTGGACAAAGAAAAAACTAGTTTCAGCGATTTATGCGAAGGGACTCCAATATTCCAGCAGGACAACGCACCCATACACAATGCAAAAATTGTTAAAGAATGGTTTTCACAGAACAGCATTGAAAAACTTGAATGGCCTGCACTCTCGCCAGACTTGAACATTATAGAAAATGTATGGGAGAAATTATCGAGGATGGTATATCAAGACTGTAAGCAGTACAACTCTGTCGACGAACTTAAAACGGCTGTCACTGCCTGGAATAATTTGCCTCAAGATTTTATTCAAAATTTGAACAAAACCATTCCAGAAAGATTACTGGAAATAATAAAACTGAGTGGTATGCCACAAAATATTATAAACTTGTTTTAAATTGATTTTATCCCATGTGTCTATAATTTTGTCACAGACAAAATTGTTTAATTTTAGTATTTTAATAATTTTTTTCTCTTATTTACTGAAAAATTAAAGTTTAATGAAGAAAAATATTTATTTCATGTGTTTTGAATAAATATTTGTTGTACAAACCCATTACATTAAAAAATCATAACAATTAGGGGTGTGTCTATAATTTTATCATTTGGTTGTAAGTATATTTTTTTGTGTGAATTCCTTTTCAAATAAATATTTTCGAGTGGTCTCTGGCGCATTCAATCCTTTGCTGCGAGCTGGGATTGCTGCCACCTTTCCGAGGGAGCAGCTCATCCTCAGTTATGCAGCGAGGTTCCTTGCCAAACTGCCGAGACATCCGCTTTTAGGTGCGATCCTTAGATGCCAGTATAGTAGAATATACAGTGACTTCAGACCCGGTACATGTGCTGATTTGAGCCTATGTAAATCCATCCTAGGAAATCCTTCTCAAATTAACATCTAAGAAAAACATTAAAAATTTATATTTAAATTAAAAGCTAATATTGTTTTCCAGGCTGCTTTGCATTTGTTACTGCCCTATTTGTATTTCTATTCTCTGGAGCGAGAGTGACACCACTTGAAGATGCACTGGCCGTTTCGACCTTCTACATAGCAGTTATCGTCTGCTTTGGACTATCATTCATTTTCCATACGGTGTACTGCCATTCTGAATTCGTAGGCAAACTCTTCAGCAAGTGAGTAGACTTTTGCGGACTTTGTTTTGTAACAATTTGACCCGATCGAATTGTAATTTCGAAGGCTGGACTACTGCGGTATCGCCATCCTCATCACCGGGTCATTCGTTCCATGGCTTTACTTCGGATTCTACTGTCAGACCACAGCGAGGTACATATACTTGACTGTTGTCATCATTCTTGGGGTCACCGCAAGCATCGTCTCACTCTGGGATAAGTTCAGTGAATCTCGTTTCCGCCCTTTGAGAGCTGGTAAGTGATACTGAGATTTTATTGTTACTTTAATTAACACAGTGAAATTTGAACTATTTTTGTGCCAGCCTATAATGATTTTTATGGGAAAATACCACTCATACCAAAATATTCTATCCTCATTATTTTTCTTTTTATGTAGGAAAAAGAAGCAAATAATATGTAAGGTTGTATAAAAATAATATTAGATATTTAAAAAGTTACAAAAACCAAAAAATGCTTTTTGTAAATTAGGCCAAAACCGTTTTTTGTTCAAAAAACCATTTGTCTTTGTTTTAAGCACCCTTTAAAGCCTGTAAATACAAATTAAATAGAAAAGATTAGTGGTAGTTAACTCCTCAGGATTTTGAAACTTTGAAACGGTGCAACATCACCACTGACAACTTCACTGAAGTAGGGCCTTTTTAAAATTGAAAAAAGGTCTCAGGTTCTCCACCGCTGCTGCATTTTCCACCCTCTTGAGCGGTTTCGAACAGCCTGTCTAGGTATTGAAGGAAGTAATGTAAGAAAAAGTATTTGCTTTGGTGATTGATCAGCCTTCTTAGTTTAAATTTTTTTTTTTTCCGAAGGTAGATTGGGGATGAGGCCAGGAAGACAGAAACAGTATTTATTTTCTTGTCTAGATTTCGGCAGAATATATCACTTCATCAGGATTTTGAAAAAATTGTTTTACTATATGGAACAGGTATGGAGAATGGATAACTGGTTACTCTGTTATCCTCACATGTACCTGTTCATATAGTAAAACGGTTTTTTCGAAGTGCTGATGAAGGCGATATTTTCTACCTTTTGGAAAGAAAAATATTTAAGAAAAAGTATTATTTTGAGAGCCTTTCCAACTGTGCACTGCCAAAGCAGCTCGTTCATTAGGTGCAGACCATCCAAAGGTCGACCCGGCCATAACCCACTGTGACCGGGGCTAAACGGTACTCGTCCTGCCCTCTCATGTTATTAATATTAATAAGATAAAATGACATTCCTGACAAGAAAAGGTTTATATTATTACATTTTTTCCCATCCTATCGGGGAAAAAATTAATAAAGCTTAAATAGTGGCGGGATGAACCGAGAAGAGAAGCAGGAAGCAATTCGCGGCCTGCAAGATCCTGATCAGGAGGTCACAGGGTCCGAGATTGGAAAAAAAAAGCAAGGAGAGTCAGTTCGACATAGACGTTCCGAGGAAGAGATGGTCTCCGCGAGGAAAGAAAATATTCTTTAAAAAAGTGTATTTTAAAAAAGTGTGTGGCTTGTGATCCTAGTCGTGCTGATCGGAGAGTTCCTACGAAGAGAAAGGGGCTGATCCCGGCAAGTGAAGAGTGATCCCATGAGTTGGTTTATTTCCAATTTCTTATCAGGCCTGATAATTCCAGACTAGAGACATTAGCTATAATTTCGGCCTTTTGTTAGCTTTTAATTACAAAGAATTTGTCTATGTACTTTTAAATAGAATAGTTGTGATTAGTATTCATTTTTTTTTTAAATCGTAGTTTTAAACCCTAAGTAAGCTAAATACCTTAAGATATCTTGCTTGTGTTAACGAATTAACTCGTATAGAAGCAGGAAGAACATCATTTAGCTCCCATCATAACCCTGGGTGGAAGCACCATCAGAAAGAAGAGAGCCAGAAGCGCTACATCGGTCGTCTGGGGTCTGACACGGACACCGTATCTGTCCTTCCTTTTCTCTTTCTTTCTATTGTCTTACTCTTCTTTTCCTTTTTTTCCCTGGTGCTCAACATAACACCTGTAAATAAACTTTCACCTCCTCACCGACCATCACTTGTCTCTCCCTTCAACATGTTCCCCCCCCCTTCTCCACTGAGCTACCGCCAACGTACGTGCAGCCACAGTAAGGAAGCTGTAACAATTTCTAAAATTTTAAGTTATTTGGGGAGGAGTTGTTTAAGCCATTATGTGTAGTTTCGTTGGGTTCTAACCACCTGTAGTGTTTTTCCATCTCCACTACCCCAGGATGGTCTAGTAGGGCACAGTACACCCTTGACAAAAGGATTTGGATGCTAGTATGATGTGAGGGGGGGTCATCGGCATTTCGTTGGTACTATACTTCCGCAGTGTAGTGGCTTGTCCAGAATGAATGTATTTATTAGCGTGAGAGGTGATGCGTGAAAGGACGTGGCTGTCGAGGAATATCAAGTACTCCACAGGCCCGTGAAATAATTTAGATTAGGATAAGTTAGTGTGTGAGTGGAACTTGTAAATACCGTTTGAACATATTTATTAGCGTGAAAGACAGGGGGCCACAAGGCCACGATAATCTTCCGACCTCCAATTTAGTTGTAGTATAGGTTGTAGTAAATTAGTTTGAATGTGACTTATGAAAATGTGTGAATATTATATCTATCTATGTATTTTAATTTATCACGTGTGGGAGGGTAACAACAAACAAGATAACGAATCTCCTATTAGGTGAATTAGGTGAAGACTCAAAAAAGAATATACACATAAGATAGAAAAAAAAAACTAAGTAATTTTCCTTTCTTTTTCTCTTTTTCTGCTAATTTCTTTTCCCTCGCTCTTTCTCTTGATATTTGGTACTTCTGTTTCTCCAGCGTCAGCTCCGGTTCATTGATTTTTACTTGTCAGTTTTGTGTCCTTTTTATTTAGTATTTTATTATAGATATTACATTTAGCATACCATTGTATTTATTTAGCTTAATGAATTTGTACGCTTATTTTTTAGGATTAGTTAATAATTAATCCCAACTCCGGCAGACGGTTGGTTACCTTGCCGAATTAAGTTTATTTTCTTGTCTGAATTATCTGTAATTTTTATTTTCTTCATGTGTGCAATAAACTTATTATTATTATTATTATTATTCTGTACCAAAGATCAAACTCGTAAAGCAAGCAATGCCTCAAACGAATTGTTTCCATGTATACGTGTCGTAGTTTATTCTTGATTGACCCTTGGGATCAATTATCATTTTCTTAATGTCTTTTTCAATATGGCTTTTCCTACCCTAAATTAAACAGGAGACCAGGTAATATTGCCTTTATACAGGTGAAAGTCGGAATTTGAAAAAAAAAAGTCCACACCCAATACTTAAAACATTAATAAATAATTAATTATTCTTTTTATGTAAGGTCTTGGTTGATAAATAAATTTCATGTTTAACTTTTTAGGTGTTTTCGCTGGATTTGGACTGAGCGGAATCGTGCCAGCTTTTCATTACGTAATATCTGAAGGATGGTTTAACGCTGTTGCATACGCGTCGCTCGGTTGGCTCATACTCATGGGAATTTTGTATTTATCCGGAGCGTTCGTCTATGCTTTCCGATTCCCCGAAAGCCTCTATCCAGGGAAATTTGATATATGCGTAAGTCCGGAAGATTATTTTATATTCGCGACAGAACCTGACGATTTTATCTCAGTTTCAGAGTCACCAGATCTTCCATGTGCTTACAATCGCCGCCGCGTTCGTTCACCTCCATGGTATTACCGAAATGCTCACCTACAGAATGTCAATGGGTGCTTGTGCAGTCCAGAGTGCTGTCCAGAGCACAATTCTCTGACATCCACTCCTCCCACAGCATCCGACTCTGTAAAGAGATACAACTCGACTCTAACAACCTTCTAAAACCACATTATTTATGGATTAGTAATAAATAAATAAATTGAAGAAGATATAAAAAAAATGTGATCAATTATAGGATATTAAAATTGGAAATTTTATGTGATACAATTGTTTGAAAGAAACATCAGAATGTCGGAAATATCTTCACTTACTCAATTTGTAAATTGATTTTTTTAAAAATAAAAATCTTTAACATTCAAAACAACGGGTGGGTTTAAAAATGGTTTTAAACAAAATCGTTTTAACTTTTTAATAATGCTCTCCACATTATTATTACAAAATCATCACCTTTTTAATGTGTTAGTGGTTGGAATGTGCTGCGGTCATTCAAAATAAAGTTAATGTGATAATTGATTATAAGTAAAAGAAAAACCTGTTGTTGTTTCTGAATCGATCTGATAAAAATATATTTTTATGATCTTAGATTGTTATTCTATTACATTAGGTCAGGAAACGAGTGGGCTTGATTTTTTTTTTCCAAATGTCAATCAACTTGGTCTATTAAATTGATGTAATAATTCATTGTTAGTTCGAAAGAAAATATTAACTATTACTTAAATTATTTGTTAAATTTTATTAATCACAATCTACATTTTACAATTTGTAAATTTTTGAAAATCAAAATTCTAAAAATAAAGAACTTTCATAATTTTTTTTTCCTTCGAGTATTATGTCATTAAATGTATTAACAATAAAATTTGTAATATAGCAATTAGGTGAAAAAATGGCAGGGTGTCCAAATAAAAGAAAAACAACATAATTGTGAGTCAATATTGCCAAATTTTTCCAACAAAAATGTTCTAAATTTATAACATTCGTTATTTAAAGATTTAAGACGGCGAAGTTGCACTTGCCTATAATCGGTCAAATTTTGAACATGGAAGATGTTTTGTGGTGGTTTAGGAGTTGAAAACATTTAGGATGTAATAAATATTAATAAACAAGTTTTCTAACTCACAATAGGGACCACAAATCCAAATTATTTATTAACGATGTGGTTTATATTTTCTCTTTTATTTAAATAATAATAGACACCCTGTCCAGCAAAAAAATTGTGAGCAAGTCAGATTGTTGCTGTAATATATTGAATTGAACTGCTGTATATAAAATAAGGTAAATTTTTAAAGTAGAATTTAGTTTTTGATTGAAATTTGTAATAGGATGAAAGTGTACGAGGATGTCCCAACCCTGGAAAATAAATGAAAAAAGCAGCCGAAAAAAATAAATAAATAAATAAACGCTGTTAAATAAATGCCGCAAAGTGTTTTTATTGGGACCAGGTGGTGAAATATCAGGAATGAAATGTGTATTTAAATATTTTTATAATGAAATGTACAATATTGGGGGAAAAAAAATCTATGATTTCATTATGAAATATTAACAATGAAACGGTGCTTATTTACTTTTCTTGGATGTAAAGCGTTTTAAGATTTAAGAGTTTATTTTGGCTGACCCAATTTTCTGTTTTCTGACTTGAATCGTATTGAAACAGTATAATTGTACTTAATGGGCAAATAGTAGAGTACATATATATATATATATATTTCTTATAATAATATTGTAATTACTTTACTAGAAATGTAAAATTCTTCAATTGCCCTCTAACGAGGAACCTTCCAATGTACTTAGATAGTTAAAAAAAAAGTATGAATTGTGATGTTTTTATAGATTCAATTTAGAACCATGTAGTCGTAATATGAATAATTGCTTCCTTGATTTAATACAGTTTTCTTTAGCTTTCTTCCATTCTGCCTTAATTAATGAGATAATCGACCGTTTCTTCCTAATCGTAAGTGCACAGCAGGCTAAAGGGATTGGTACAATTTTTAATTAGTATATATTAGCTATATTTTTGTTACATTCAATTTTTTTGAAAATGGATCATTTAAAAGAATTGCATTTTGTGTTCTCAAACGACGTGAATTGAAATGAATAACGGCACAAAAAAGAAAGCTTCATAAATTGCTTTTTAAAACGTTAAAAAGTTAATTAGACTTTATTGATGTCTACCAAGAAATAAAGTGAAGATAATTTAGATGCAGTTTGATTTATTTATTTCCCCTTTTGAACAATGGTAATTAATCAACTGATTAATTTTTTTTAATGCAGTCTGTTAGAGATGAAAAATCAGTGACAGGAGCAGACTGTTAATCTTAACAGCATTGCCATCGGGAAAAAGTAATGTGAACATCCATGATTGGTCTTTTAGGCCCAAATTTTTTTTTAAACTGAAAAACTAAAATAAGATTTTTGTTAATAATGTTTATTTATTTAGTATGTAAAATTTTCATGTATACGATAAAATTTTAATACAATTTAAGATATTTTCTGGTCCTCTTTCAGAAGACTTAGGGGAAATTCTTCTACAAATTGTGCTCTAACTCTCTCGAGAAGAAATGGCCGGTTTGTTTGAAAAATAGAGTTAATGACTTTTCTTTAGCTGAAGATGAGCTAGTGTTTTGTTTGAACATACCAGATTTGATGGGGTTCTTCAGGAATGAAAGATTTTTTTTTATTTTTCCAAAGAAGCCTGAAAGTTCTAAATAACAGCAATTAACATGATTTTACTCCAGTAGATCTAAATGATTGGGTGAAATACTTGAATATGCCCAAAGAAAGTGTAGAATTTCTGGGTTCCAAAATGAAATATAAAAATCTCCTGGCTTCAAACACTTTCTTCTCTTGGAATTGTCACAAAAAAAAAAAAAAAAAAAAAGAGGACTTTTCTTTAGCTGAAGATGAGCTAGTGTTTTGTTTGAACATACCAGATTTGATGGGGTTCTTCAGGAATGAAAGATCTTTTTTTATTTTTCCAAAGAAGTCTGAAAGTTCTAAAAAACAGCAATTAGCGTGATTTTACTCCAGCAGATCTAAATGGTTGGGTGAAATACTTGAACATGCCCAAAGAAAGTGTAGAATTTCTGGATTCCAAACTGAAAAAAATCTCCTGGCTCCAGACACTTTCCTATCTTGGAATTGTCACAAAAAAAGAGAGATAATGACTTTTTTTTAGCTGAAGATGAGCTAGTGTTTTGTTTGAACTCTCTAACTGAAAATCTCCTGGTTCCAGATGCTTTCTTAAAATAGTAAAAAGTTTATGAACAGAACTATATTTTATTAAATAATTTTATATAATTTATATTNATATTTTATTAAAGAATTTTTTTAACATTGTCCGTTATTGGGTGAACTTTATTTGTTTATTCATTCATTTTGACACTAAAGTTTCTCCTAGAAATGATGAATGGTCGAGTGAGTGCGGTGTTCAATCCTTTTAAATAATTTTATGCACTCACTTTGATTTGATGTTTACTTTTTTTAAAAGGCAATTAGGTTTTCTTCATTTATTTTCACAACTGAAAAATATCAGAGATTTACTTTTTTTTTTTACATTAAAAAACTATTAATTATTTGCAATATACACGATCAACTAATATAGTCCACCCTTGAATTTGGAAACGATTTACATTAGCAAAAAATGTTCTTACACAGACCCCAAGTTAATTTTGGCTAGGAATCTTGTGGTTGTAACAGATTAAACATAACTTTCTCATCTAGCTGTGAAATGATACTACTAACTTTGTTGTTTTAAATGAGAATCTCATATTTTTATTATACAATTCGATTCTAGAGCTTATTTTGATTACTGAATCGATCCAGTCAAAATTTTCCTTTATGTAAAAGTTGCATAAAATAAGCTCTAGAATCGAATTGTACAATAAAAATATGGGATTTTCATTTAAAATAACAGTGTCATTTTCTCAAGCAAAAAATATGTTGTCACTTGTTTTGACCAATTTATGGTATTATCTTTTACATTTTGTTTTAGCTTTCTTATCTAATTGTAAATATGTATTTAAAAATATCAATGTTTCTATGTTCTGTTATGTCTAGTTAAATTTTGAATGTCAATGACCTCCTTAATGTAATTTTTATTTTTTTCTCGAATTTAATTATGTCGAAATCATTTGGATCCTATCGTACAATAATGTATACCTGAGTTTTCAATTTCATGTTCTGCTTGCTGAGCATAAGAAGAGAGATATGTTTGTTGCTTTTGTTGATGCTGGGCAAGAGGATGGTCTGCGTCTATTCTCTTTGCTTAAAAAAAAAAAATTGTGTCAAAAATGCGTGCTTACAGTATGGCTTTAAGCATAGAGGTTTGACAATAGACCTATATAGGTCGCAGTGAAGAAACGTATGCAAAAAAGAATAACTTCAATATTGAAAGGGCTTCTGAAAGATCTAAACTGTAAAATAATGATTACGGTACAGTTGCTAGAAACTTTGAACCTTTAGTTACCTCTAAGTGAGCACATTTCAAAGATGCCCACAAGGAGGAATACTGTGTCCTATTTTCTTTAATCTAATAATTGTACATGAGGAAAACTTCTCTCTAAACTGCAAGAAAGTATAGGAGCAGAACTTCACACCAATATCAAAGTAATGATACTTTGAGAGGTGTCCGAAAACCAAGCAGTCATCAGAAAAAAAAACTGATTATAAATTGGTTACCCTATCCTTTAAATTAATTTAATTATCCTTTTGTTCACTTTTTTTAAGAGAGAGGGGTTTCCGGATAGGAGACACCCTGATATTAGACTGCATTTGTAGTAGAATTTGGATGAGCAACAGACATTTAGGAGGGCCATCTTGGTACAAAAATCATACCCCATCACGCGTCTTCCATCAGGCATGACTCAGAAATGGTCGATCCTATCAAAATTTTCCCTCCAGTAAAAGTGATTTAAAATAATCTCTAGAATCGAACTGTTCAATAAAAATATGGGATTTTCATTTAAAATAACAAAGTTAGTTTCATTTCCCAGATAGATGAGAAAGTTATGTTGAATCTGTTACCACCCGCGATCCTTAGCCAAAATTAATTTGGGCCATTTTTTGCTAAAATTAATCGTTTTCGAATTAAATGGGTGTACTATAGAAGCTGATATACCCTGTATATATTTTAACAGAGAGCCGTTCAGATAAGTAAATTTAGGCCATCTAATTACACAGGTAATTAATTTTAATCAGGACGGCCTTCTGGAATCGAGTTCCGCGTCCATTTTGTCCGTTATGACTGGACATTAGCCATTTTTTTAATCTTTTACTTTGGGGGTTTCACTTTCCCGGATCGTCAGGATACAGGGGGTGGGGTCCATTAATATTAATGAAAAAGTTGGCCGTTTCGCCCACCTTTTAAACGGCTTTACCAAATTTATTCTGCATAAAGTCTCGGCCAGAAACCGAAATAAAAATGAAAAAAAAAATTGTCCGCGAAGGACAGTCTATTTCGTTACGGATTTGTTCGATCCGAAATTTGCCGTTTGTCCGTTTATCAGCGGCGTTCGGGAGGCTTTCGATATTAAATTAATTTTTGGCCAAGATTCGCACAAAGGGTTAACTAATGAAGTCGAGGGAAATAAAAGGGCTCGTAGGCCCTTCCCAGCCTTCGGCCCGTGGTAAATATTATTCTGGAAAATATTGACGAAAAAGTTTCGCCGTTCGTAAACAATTCTCGTTCCTGGATAAATCA